ATATCGCTTTAATATGTGTATCAGGAACAACAGATTATTTCCGATCAAATTTATCATCAAATATTCTTAAAGGTATATTTTATCCTTCGACTTTTATTGGAAAGGTTTTGATGGGAGATATGCTTTGGTTATGGCCAGTAGGGGTGTACGGATTTTTTAATATCATATTTGCGCTGATTGGTTTTGTCATAGCAACAATTATTAGTTTTTTTACGTATTTTAAGATATCTATGTTTATACGCACACATGCGTATAAATTCAAATGCGAAAAAATAGCGTATCATATTTTTGTCAAAGTGCTTGATGATCCTTATTGTCCAAGTCTCTGTATATGGTGGTCGCAATGGACATATGATTATATAATGGGAGGTGTCAAAACTCTTGAGTGGTGTATCTTATTGTTAATTGGACTTATCGTTAGCATATGTTATGATGCGTTTGAAGATGCTTACTATAATCCTGCACCAAGATTTTGTGAAGTGGTATATGATAATGATGAAGAGAAACCAACATTTCAGGGAATATGTGCTATTAGTTACATAAGAGCAGATAAAACTCAATCAACATTTGTTTTGGCAGAAAAAATTTCAAAGAGTCTATATTGTCCAGTTTTTTGGTTAGACGCTCTATGTATAAATCAGGAAGACCCTAATGATAGACATGCACAATTAGTAGCAATGGCAGAGGTATTTAGACAAGCTACATATGTTGCTGTCTTGTTGGAACAAAGCGATTTTGGATATGGACCAGGATTCATGTTAAATAAAACTGCAATCTTAAACCTTAAACGTTGGACTCAAGATGTATGGACAGCACAAGAGCACGTAATTGGTCCTATAGTACTATTTTATGATAAAAATGGATCATTTATTAGTGAAGATGCGGTTTTATTATTATTAGAGGATGCCAAGCAAAATGGTGATATAGAAGCAGCTGAAATGCTCCCGATTTTCTATAGAGTGAGAGAATGTAGAATTAGACGTGGCGTAAGTCTGGGTGATGCATGGTATTTAATTTCAGACAGGTTAACTGATGATCCAAAAAACTATATATTCGGCATGCTTGGAATACTGCATCCAATGATTAGGCATCACTTTATTCATGGTAGTAGATGTGTGAACTTTGAAGATGGAATGCAGCAAATATTGAGATTAGCATGTGAGAGAGGTGATCTTTCCTGGCTGCATGTAATTGGAAAACAATCATCACCAGGAAGATATAATTGGTTAGTACCGACTCCTGGGGAGAAATCGCATTTTGATGTAGAATATATCCGTTCAGCTGCAACAGGTTGGAAGATAGAATATTATAATAATGATATTAGAACGTCAGCTGTAGATGGTATTATTCGCGAATTTGACGTTGATAAACAAATAATAGAAATTGAGAATTATGGAAATGTAATATTCCAAGGATCTTTTACATTGTTAAATGGTGAAAAATTATCGATAGGAATGAATGTTTATTTAGTTGCGTATTTAATATTGTTATACACTTTAGATCAAGAGGCTAAATTTGCAATAGTTAAGCAAGGACTTAACGGTGAAACACATTTGATAGGAGTAGTTAAAGGAAAGTATTATGGACCTTTAAACCCACACCAATGGGTATCAATTCCATAAAATAATTGAACTTATAGCTATTTAATAGACTAGCGCGAGAACTTAATTGTTTTATGTAATGTGATATAAAACAACAAGTAATTTGAAACTTGATATTAGTCCAATCACGTTATTTAAATTGGTTTGGTTGACTACACTATAGCTAAGTAACCTTTTTTTTGTACTTCTGATTAAGTATTTAAATTAGATTAATGATTCTTGAAATCATTGGAATCAAGTATGCAAACATGATGCAAAATTTGTTGCATGTCAAGCCATTTGCTTTTATTTTCTTTATTTATTCTATTTTTTCAAAATTTCTGTTTTTATAACTTTTATTGCAACCTCCTTATATGTAGTGATGTCCGCAAAATTTTTTACCTTGTTCCAATTTCTAATAAAATTCAAATATGATATCATTATATGTTGATTGAATTCAGTTTTTCATTCACAGTAATTTTCGTCAAGCCCATTAATAAAAAGTAGTGCACTTAGTTTTCAATAGCTATTTATCGTTATTTTTAACCTACTCCAGGATTAAAAAAAAATAAAAAGAATCGAATGGACATACAACATAATGACAATCATTATTTAAAGAATTTCTTCTTATAAAAGAGAGGTAATGATTAAAATGTGTTGTGTGTGGCTTATTACTACGTGGAAGTAATTCTGAACCAACAGGGTGGAAATCAGGAATAAGCATGAATGTTGTGTATATAAATGTAATGGAAATGCGTTTCGGCTCGGGCTTCAACGATAAAGATTCGGATTTTTTCTCTGACTGAAATGTTTCATGTCAACAATAGTTTGTTTTGGATACAAGGTAGTTCGCAATGCTTGAATTATATATACAAAAAAAAAGGTCCCTAGAAAAATTTACCTGTTTAACGACTTTAAGTTTTCGTTTGTTTCGAAATGTAGGATCCATTATGTGTTAACAATTTAGATACATGTCTCAACAAACGATCGAAATTTAAATTTGGAAATTCTTATGTGTCCAATTTTACAAATTGACTTAATCAAGTGGTAGTAGATCTGTAAACAGTAATAATCTTTAAGTCGTATGTGAAAATTGAAATTTTGTAATCTTATATAGATTATTATGGAATTAAAGAATGTGTATTATTAATTTCAAAGTACATACATGAACAGATACAATGTAGGTTGTCAAATAATCATGCGCATTGCAATAACCATGATCTATGCTATTACTATATTAGTATTAAAAGTATTCTGATTGCTTGATTATACAAGCACAGAAATATGAGTACTTCAAAAAAAAACCAAGTTTGACCTTTTTTAACGGATTCAACCTGGAAAACATGATTGCTGATAATTAATAGTTATTTGAAACTTCGTACCAAATAACTGAGGTATTTGCAGAATACGATTTGATTGGTCGATTTTAAGCACCGAAGGTGCGCAATATTCGTGATAATGCTTTACTAGTATACGAAACACTAAAGTACCGTAATTACGTCGTCACTTCGTGCTTAAATAACTGGTTTATCCGGCATTTATATTGGATTTTGCATTGACTGGACATTTGAAATTTTAATTTTTATGCACGTAAGTTACACGCGTTGTCGATAACGTGTATAACTCACGTGCATAAAATTAAAAATTTCTCGATTTCAATCTCTACGCACATGATCAATAAAAAAAAATCATTTAGTAAAGTTTAATATCTGACACTATTAGCCGTGCGATGCTTTTTAATTCTTTATTAATTTTTGAAGTAAACACAGTATCCTAATCATGTGAAAGTTTATGTAAATAACTATGATTAACAATATTTTAATAATATTTATAAAGGCCTAAAAGTTACTAATATTCAACTCATTTCATGTACTGATGATAAACTAATATTGTAATAAATCTTAAAAATTGCTAATTTAGTACTAATAATGCATTTTATATTGCTCATAATTGGTTAATATTTGCAAAATTAAAATTTCAAAAGTTATTAATGATATCAACAGATTCAAGTGACGTTATATACACACTAAATTTTTTTAATAAAGTTAGAATAATTTTCAAGTTTTATTAAAAATAAAAAATAAAAAAAAAAACAAAATAATATCATATAGATTTAAATTTCTATTTACCTATGTTCAGCATTAGGAATTCTATAAAACTGTGTATTAGGAATTTCGCGATCAAGGATTTCACCATCTTGAATAGGAGTTACTTCATCAGCTTCACCATGAATTATCAAAGTTGGAACTTTAATTGTATGTAATCTTGAAACAAGATTACACTGTTTAGCCCCTTCCCATTGACGCTCTACAAAAATAATAAAATTAGATAAAATTTAATATTACTGTAGTTAATATTATAAAATATATATGTATATGTATGCACATACTAATAATTTCAAACGGCCTTTTAGTGTTAGTGTTAACCATAATCTCCACAATTTTATCAAGTTTATCAGGATGTTCAAGTAGATATCTAACCGTATATTTTTCGTAAGAGTTAAGAAGCAAGTCCTTTTGTTTTTGAATATCCTTAGGAAAACTCAATTCTGGTAATTTATAAAGTTGTTCTGCATCCTGATACCATCTTGAGTCTGGTCTAACTCGAGCAGTACTTCAACAAAAAACTAATTTAAGTATGGATTATAACTGCAAATTAGTCAAATAATATATTGTATATACCTAAATCCAATAATTAATTTCTCTAATTTCAAATCTGATGGAATATTCAAGGCAACACAAAGAGCAATCATGCCTGTAAAATTTTTTTCATGTGAAAAGTAAAAATCATTGAAAAAATATCAAATATTTAAAAATTGAACATTACCACCCATAGATCCTCCAAATAAATTAAATCTTTTAATTTCAAGGTGTTTAATTAATTCAATTGTATCTTGAGCCATTAACTCGATCGTAATAGGGTCATAATAGGAAGCAACAGTTGATTCTCCAATTCCACGATTATCGAATACAATTACTAATAAAAAGATCTTATACTAATTTAATTTTCATACTCCTCATGATAATTAATAGATTAAAGTGCCTAATGTCGTGGCTGATGCTTTGATTGGTTGATACTGAGATTGAGATCTTAATTTAACATATACAGTATATACTCTAGCCATGAATCCTGACCTAACCCCAAAAGAAACACCTCAAAAAGTTTAAAAAATTTATACTGTATCAAAATAAGATCATTTCTCAATATCAGCCGATCTCAGTTTCAGCTATGACAATTATTAATGAGTATATTATTAATTGGTACATTTCTATAATAGACGAACCTGGTTGGTCTTTTGCCAATTCTAATAATTAAAAATGATTCAAATTGATTACATATGTAATAATATATATCTAAATAACAATTGTAATAATAATAGTAAATGCTTAACTTTCTTCAAAGCCAAAAAAATGCTCTTTAATACAACCACTTAAGTTTACAGATTATGATTAAATTATTAGAGAATAAAAGAAATTTAAATTACAAAATATTATTAAAAACGGCAGTATTTACAATCCTATGATTAATACAAGAGGAATCTTATTTTTAATATTTTCAGACTTGAGAATCTTGTATGCAATTTTTGATCCATCTTGTTGTTCAAAAAAGCGACTTTCGGACATAGTGATGTTAAGTTTTTTTTTTCTTACCAAGGCAAAAATACTTTGAAAAGTGTGGTTATGTATATAGTATTTATTTATTTTATGCCATATGACCAAGAAAATACGGAGCCTAAATTTCCTAAATTAGGAAATCCTTAGGTCCAATTAAGGTCAGAATTACTTTTTTGATACAGTTAGTATTACTATATAGATAGATATCAAGAATACAACTTATGAATATGTAGATCAATATATGAATCTGCCGGATTTACTTTTTCTTCTTTCGGGAATTCATGTCGGG